CATATTTTGCCTTTATGACTTTTGTGTCCAAAATCCTTTTATTTTCTGGTTTTCTTACCCTCAGGTGCCAGGCAAATTATGGGATTTTAGTTTTCATTTAGCATGTACTAATTATTTTCCTGAAATGAATTAAACTCCACAAAGTGTGATCCTCTCTTACAAAGTGATATCGAAAGTAGTTTGTTTCAGAAAGAAATTCATGAGGCTTCAAGCAAATTCATACAAGTGTAATTAAAGACCCTGTGTTGTAAGTAGAATCTTTCCTGTTTCTAATGGTTGTCCTTGGGTGGAGTAGTGACCTTCTCTCAGCTGTAACCGTGGCTACCACAGATATGACGTCCACCTGATGCTTCTGTTCTTTAACCTGCCAGGAGGGGCAGAGGTTCGTGGCAAAGTGGCAAATGGCAGCCCCATAATTAATCAGCTTCCACTGTAATTAAAGTGTCCATCAACAAGCTTGGAAGGACGATGCCCCCACTCCTCCCTCCTTGGCCCCAGGCTGCAGGAAATCAACCTGCAAAAATAATGAGTTCACTTTTAACTGTGTTTCAGGAAGATCAAAACAGCACAGTAGAAGCTGAGGACACCAGTCAGCAGATGGATTTTCACATCTGAAGTGACACAAAACTATTTTCCTACATCATGACTCGCATTTTTGCTTTCACCTGACCAAAAAATCAACCAGCGTAAACCAACAAGGTGCTAAAACTAATGTGCAATTAAAATGCAAGTCAAAACACATCACAAGCACAAACATACTATTTGGATTTACGCCATCGTAATACCAAATGCTCTTAGATGTCTTCATTTGGTCTATGTTTTAGATTTAGACAGCATGGCTCAGTATTTGAACAGTCAAATCAAACCGGTGGGCTTCTTGTTCGCTTGGCTACAAAATCAGCATAACAGCAGCAAATGGAGGAGGATTCAAAAATTGTCATTTCAAGGTAGAGTTACAAGACTGAGTTCATGTTGGCCTATGACTAAAAACAATAAAGCTGTTTCTGAATTGCAACGATGTTTAATCTTTTTGGAAACACTAAACAATAAATATCTCTGAGCTTGTGTCTTACCAAAAAACTGAATTAGAGGCCAACTAATATTATTATCAACCAGTTGGTAATTCAGACAATTTTTACCTTTTGTATTGGTCTTAATCATAACTACCAGTGTGAGTGGTAAGAATTACTACTGTTTCTGTTTGTACCTATTTATATTTTCTCGTCAAATATTCAATGTTACTTTTAGAAGAAAAACTTGCATAATGTTCACCAGTGGTGCTGCCAGGAATCTTGGGCCCCCTGACAAAAAATTAAATTGGGCCCCCCCTCACGCAGCTGCTGTTACAATTTCTTGAGTCTACTTGACCCATCAAAAGCGTCACAATTTCAAAGGCTTGCAACGGCCTTGCTTTGTTTGGTCCAACACTGATAACTACAATATTTACTGCTCATGAATTTTACATGCAAGAGTAAAATTCAGTATGTATACAGTAGGTTGCTTAATTTTTTTCTGTTAGTTTTAGATTACTGAAATGTCTCCCCATGAGCAACAGTCATAGGCAACATGCTAAATTTACATGAAGCAATCCAGACTTCTCAAAAAAAATTATATTTAGTTGCATTTTATTCAAGCTGCAGTATATAACTTTAATAAAAAACATGTTTCTCCATATTTGTTAAAGTTGTCACCATGTTGTGACAGTTTGCTATGAGACAGATAATCCATGAAAACAATCAGTCTCCTCCACCTCCTTCCTGAACTACTATTGCTGGCTAAAGTAATGCACCATTCTGACAAAAACAACCA